AAAAAAAAAAAAAAAAAAAAGAATATTAATTAGTCTATATTGATAATATAGATTGATATATAATAATTAGTATATTATAAATCATAGCTATAATATATTAATAATTATATAATTAATATATTGGTAATGGTTATATAATTATTAATGTAATTATATATTGATATATTAATGATATGTAATTATAATTAATGTATTGCTAATTATATAATTGGTATATAAAATAATTTGTATATTATTGTTAATTATATAATGATTGATATATTATTAATTCATGAATAGTATAGATTATTCATGAGGCATCTGCCCCTCTGACCCAGACACCTCCCATTAGGCCCCCACTTCCACCGTTGAGAGTTTCAACATGAGGTTTGGGGATAAACATCCAAACTACAGCAGTGGTTTTAATATGAAGACCCAGATCTGCTTCCAGGGGCTCACTCATAAACATGCATGCAGGCCCCATAACAGAAGCCTCAATGGAGATCTGAACATATTGCCATGAGCAGGCAGAAGGTGGAGGACCGAGTCTGGGGAGTCAGCCAGGTCCTCACAAGGGCCAGGATATTTGAACAGTCTTCCTGAGTGAGCAGAGGCCTCCAAGAGGAGAACTGGAGGAAGAGCAGGGGGGAGGTTAAGCTCGGGAAAGAGCACAAGTGGGAGTGGTGAGAGGTTTGGGGTTTGGAGCTGGAGAGGAAACCAGAAAGGAAGGGTGGGATGTGGGGTGAAGGCCTTGAATGGGGTAGTCAATCTGGACATGACTAGATTGATTGCTATGCCATTGCCAGGTCCCTAAAACAGAATGGACATGATCATTTCTGCACCTTTGTACACTCAGAAAATTGGAACTACGTTCTTAATGCTATTTGCACTTTTTGGAGAGAAATCTAAGCTGGGCGTGGTGGCTCATACCTGTAATCCCAGCACTTTGAGAGGTCCAGGCAGGAGGATTGCTTGAGCCCGGGAGTTCACGACCAGCCTGGGCCACAAAGCAAGACTTTGCCTCTACAAATAAATGTAAAAATTAGCTGGGCATGGACATGGTGGCATCTGCGTGTAGTTCCAGCTACTAGGGAGGCTGAGGCAGGAGGATCACTTGAGCCCAGGAGGTGGAGGCTGTAGTTGATTGCACCACTACACCCCAGCCTGGGTGACAGAACAGATCCTGTCTCTTAAAAAAAAAAAATTAAAAGGAGAGATCTAAATTTTAACTGTTTGCTAAAAATGTGTAAATGCAGACAAAAGGATGCATGGCTTCTGGCTTCTCAAATATAAATGAATTCGTGAGTTAAAGTAATTGAGAGAGGACCTAACTCTTAGGACGCAATTGAACAGCCCTCGCCCACTGTGCACAACCCCACACACGTATACAAAGATGCACAGTGTGGGTAGATGCGTTTGAATCCACACAGTGCCATGGATTCCAATTCTCATGCAGATGAAGCCCAGAGATAGTCTGAGTTAGCTGGCCAGCATCCCAGCCAGCTCCCACTGTCAGCACGGCCCGGCCTGCAGCTGGTCTCTATGGTATTTAAAGCGGCCAAGACCACCTCCAGGAAGGATGCTTCTCTGGCAAGAAAGAAGAGTGGTCCTTCCCCCACACACCTCTGGCCAGAGCCCAGACTGTCTCCCCTTCTCTCTTGTTCTTTTCAGAAGGCAGGGATGTAGATGCTGAGCTACCCAATTACAAAAATGAGTGAACCAGGTATGTTAGCTCATGCCTATAATCCCAGCACTTTGGGAGGCCAAGGCAGGTGGATCACTTGAGCCAGGAATTCGAGACCAGCCTGGGCAACATAGTGAGCCCCGCTTCTCTATAAAAAATTATCCAGGCATGGTGGCTCCTGCCTGTAATCCCAGCTACCTGGGAGGCTGAGGCACAAGAATCACTTGAGCACAGGAGGCTGAGGTTGCAGTGAGCCGAGGTCACACCACTGCACTCCAGCCTAGGTGACAGAGACAGAAACACAATGAAAGACTTGAAGAATTAGGAACAGTGACTTACCACACACCTCTCCTGAATCACCCTTTTACTTCTGCTTTTGAAGAGCACCTGATCAGGAGTCAGGAGACCTGGGTTTCACTTATTAGTGGCTACATGCCCTTAGGCACGTCCCCTAACCTTTCTGGGGCTCAGTTTTCCTACCTGAGATATGGGGATAATGCTTGCCCATCCTGCCACAGAAAATGATTGTAAATGAAGCATGTGGAGTGCTCAGCATAGTACAGGACTACAGCAAGCTACTGTTGCTGTGCACATCAACCACAGTCTCTTTTCTAACTATGCACCAAGCACTAGGGGACAAGCAGTGGACAAGATACAAGAAACAAGCATTCAAATAAATGCATGTGCGATGAAGGCAAAATATAGATGATTGAGGGGAACCTTCTCTACATGGAATATTCACAGGCCTCTCTGAGTGTAACATTTAACCTCAGGCCCAAATGGTGGGAGGGAGCCAGCCACAGGAAGAGTGAAGAAAAGGCATTCCAGGCAGAGGTCACAGCCCACGCACAGTCCCTGCAGAAGGAAAAGAGTCGAAGGTAGCCAAGGACCAGAGAGAAGGTCAGGTGGCAGGAGCAAACTTGAGGAAGTTAATTGGCTGTTTCCGCTGGGGTCCAACCTCACAGGGAGGACAAATCCCAGAAATAGGAAAGGAGGTAGAAATTTGGCAGCTTTCTGACATTCCTTGCAAATGCTGTTTCCCTTTGGTTCCACTCACCGTGGGAAAGAGTGGAAAGAGAGGTTAGAGGCGGTCCAGGCAGGGAGTACCCAATTGAGCACCACAGAAAGGAGTTAAGATTGATTCCCAGTGCCATGGGCAGCCAGTGGGAGTGCCATGATTTGATTTATATGTTATGAAGATCCCTCTGGCCCTTGTGAGGAGAATGAATTGACCCCAAAGGCAAGGCTTGCAAGGGTACAAGTAGGGTGACCAGTCAAGAGGTTACAGTGTGGCCAGGAGAAAAACAGTGGTGGCTTAGACTAGGGTGGTGGCCGGGGAAGTAGAGAGAAGAGAACAGCTTTGAGACGCATTTTATTATTTTATGTATTTATTTTTATTTATTTTTTTCTGAGATGGCATTTCTCTCTTGTTGTCCAGGCT